ATTAAGCATTCGGTGAAATCAATCTCGTATCAGAACAACCTATTAGACTTAAACCAAGCCGCGCTCGAAGCATATAGAATCAAGCTTGCAAATTTTAAACCCGGTGCGTCTAATTCGGTGGAGACAAAATTTGGTCTGCTGGAGAAACATCTTTTCAGGAGAAAGTTTGGCAGCGAGGCTCTGGATATAACCCGTTCCTGGAACGCCGAGTGGCGAATCCCTTTACAGTTGGAAGAAGAACACGAAGAGAGAGATGGAAAATGATTAATCAAATACACAAAGTTAAAACTCCCTAAACTGAGTACTAAAACTCCTATTCATTATTATTTAACATTTTAATAACATATTATAAAAATTTTCTTGATCGAGGGGGTATGTGGTACCGCAACTGCTACTGCTATTGCAGTAATTGCAGTAACTATGCAGTCATCATATATTGGCCTTGACAGTGCTATTCACATCTGCTACTGCTATCGCAGTAACCAGGCAGTCATCATATATTGGCCTTGATAGTGCTATCCATATTGTTATCTGTAAATTATATAATCCTATTATAAAAAACCAAGGTCAAAGAATACGTGACCTTTTACAAAAACCTAGAGAGTTAATCTCTCAGGCCTGTGGCTAAGAACACAGTCAGCAAGAAACTAACAACAGAAAAACATACGGTTTCAACATGGTTAATTAAACTCTTCGAAACCAAATCAGTTTTCACTATACAACCTCAGAGGTATTGTTAGTTACCACAGCCCTATGCGGTATAGTTCTTTCGACCACTGAAAATGGGAGAAAAAAATGTATTCGGGTGTGTTTTAGTCTTTTTTTTCACTCAACATCAGGTACCGCAAAAAATTATGGGAATGGGCCGAGTGATATATCATATTGAAACCTTTTAACTTGTAATTTGAACGAGATAAATATTTTCCCGAAAAAAAAACTGGCGGCGAGAAAAAACAATTTGAATTTTTTGAGATTTTGTCTAACTTTGAGTGAGTAACGCAATTTTTTATAGAAAAAAGATTTTTTTCTGATATTAAAAATAAAAAAAACTTGATATTAGTATAAAGCAAACTAGTTTTGGATGTTTTATTTAGCGATTAATTGGTAAAAAAAGTTTTCTAAATTAAATTTAAAATTATTATGCAAAAATTAGATTAAAAAGTTAAGCTTTCAGAATTTTTGTGCAAAAATCAGAAAAACAAATAATTTTTTTTGTCTACATTTTTCATGAGTAACATCAAAATTTTTGTGTCCTATTTGCACACCAACCAAATATACTTGTTTTCAGCTGTAATTTTGGATGGTATTTTAATTTCTGATCATGTATGTGTACATTTTTTCCTTATCCTCAATACTCAATACACGAACGGGTATACACGGCAATACATTAATCCAGATCAAATCACAGTACGAAATTTGAACGCAAAAACGAATATGACTAACCAAATAACAAAGACCAAATACATTTTTGCAAAACAGTCTTTTTGAGAATGAAGGAAAAATTAAAAACTGATTCTTAACTTTTACTGATTCACTGATAGCAAAAAATAGCAAAAACTTTCGTTAGGTACATTTTTTATACATTTACAATTTTTTCGGTGAAAGGATGTTATGGTGTCGAGGCTTGGAGCGACAACCTCTCGCGTCTCACAACGACAACTCGCAACTGAAAACGAAACTATCAACCGAGATCAAATAAACGACAGTTCGGAACCAAAAAAGCCTGTAAGAAAAGAAACATTTCGATTTAGAAAAAATGATAACTAAAAAGAATAAGCAAACTCTATCAAGTTAAAAAAAAAGTAGCAAAAAACCTCGAATTAACAACCACTCGGCTACATTTAGGATTCGAATCTACGACCTAGTGCAATCAAGAGATTTTGAGTCTCACTCGCTATCCCCTCAGCCACTCAAGCTTAGCAACCGACAAACACTAGTCACGAATAAAGCAGCTACATATGCTAACAAATTGCCAATGCGATTCAGCACCAAATAAAAATAGACTCAATTTTGTGATTAACAATTTGGAATATAACAAACTGAAGGCATCCACTCTAACTTTGCATGTAACAAACTGGAAAGCCTAGAGCCAGATTATGTATAAGTTATGCATTTCAAAAAAATGCGAGATATATTGATTTAGAAATTTTCTGAAATCAAGTTTTAACTATTGTGATGCTGTTTCAAACGAATAGCTTTTTCGGTTCATTTGATGAATTAAAATCGCATCAACTGTGTTAATTTATTACTATTCGAATGTCATAGCACATGCAGTCAAAAAGCTGTAAAGGTCCACCATTATTGGGGTGCCGCACCATAAAAGTGCCGCACCAATATTTGCGACTTAAGTTGGAACAACAAGAAGGTTTGTACTACTTATACACTAGCTTCGCAAGTGTAATGATTAAGACAAAAACTTTGCCGCAAAGTTGACTCAAAATAATTGTTTTTTATTATCAGGTCAAAAAGAATACATATAAACAGAATGCGATATAAGAACTGCTCCACTATTCACCAGACACAAAACTTAGCAAAAGCTAGAATGGCCGAGAAAATTTTGAATTAGGCAAAAAAGAACAAATATACTAAGAAAAACTTGACAACTTATCTCCGTCTGCCTAAAATTTTTTTAGCCTAAATAAAAAGGTAGAGAACTGCTTAAATTAGTGTTTACAAATGAGGCTGATTGGTTCTTTCAGGTAGTTTGCTATCTAATTTTTGTTATCGGAATCCGCGAAAAAAATAAATATGCCGACAAATTTAACGTTACAGGTATTTGTGGGTAAAATGACTTTTGAACTTTTGTAATTGGAGTCCACCTACTTTTTGGAACATATTTAAAGAGTTATCTCTGGATTCCACTGACCTACAGACACCAAATTGTGCGCCAAACCAAATCACATTTTGGCCTCGTACTGATAAGGCTAGAAGAAAAGCTCAAAATCTTTATTTTGTTGTTCTGTTTTTTTCATAGTTTTTTCATGATTTACTGATAGCAAAAAAAAACAACACAAAGAAGACCTTTTTGATATTCATTTACATAACATTTTGGTGAAAAGATAAAGGGTCGAGGCATTAACTTACATAAACGAAAACTTGCACAGAAACAGCTCGCAAAAAACGAAATCTATCAATTTTTTCATCAGTTATCAATCTTGTTATCAGGTTATTGGGAATACATAAAGACGAGAAGACTCATTGCAGAAACTGCTCCACTATTCAGTTTTTTTTGCTACGAGAACCTGGTTCAAAAACTTAGCGAAAATTTCAATAGCCGAAAATACTTTCAAAACAGAAAATTTAATTTTGGCAAAAAAAAACGAAAAAACTATCTCCGTCTGCCTAGGAAAAACCTTGGCCAAGGCTAAAACTAAAAATCAAAAAAACTGCTTGAAATGATTGATTGTTTTATGATGTTTGTTATCTAGTTTTTGTTGAGACTTATAAGAGGCTGATTTTGATCTAAATTGTTCACCAATTGAAGGATTTTTTTTCCGCAATTTTCAGATTGACTGAAAAGAGCCAATGGGGAAACTTTATGGGGGCAATTTTTTGAGCACTGTGAAGGCACAAAAAATTTTTTAGAGGGGGAGGCAATTTTTTTGAAAAAGAAATAAATTTTTGCCGACTTTTTTTCAGCTCGATCGATTTGCTTTTCCGAGCTCTCCGAAAAGACTATAAAGACTATTGTAAAACTTTCTGCGCAACAGGCAATTTAAAAAAAAACAGACTAAAATGACGTTTCGAGCAACTTGGCTAAAAATTGCGTTTTTCGGCGCTCTCCCCCTTCAAATTCAGTTATATTGGCGCCTCAGGCGCTTTTAGATAATTTTTGATGCTGCCAGCCAAAAATCCAGCTCTTAAGATTATACTGAAGGGAGGACCCTATGGAAAAATTTGGTAACCAGAATTGAAGAAGAGGGCGGCCATTTTTTTGGTTAGCCGATCTGATTCAACCACATGATTTTCTTCAGTTCAAGATGCGGAAAAATTGATTGCAAACCGATTATTACAAAATATCCCCAATTTTTCGTTTTCAGAAATTTTTATTAAGAGTGATTTTCTTAAGCTGGCAATTATTAAAATTTTATGATGTTTTGCTTTGGAAAAATTCCCAGCAAAAGTAGTGTAGTATGATTACTTACAGCTTTCAGTGTTTGGTAGAAGATCTGCTTACTGCTACGCTACCGTTTAACAAAAAGTAGCGAGAAAAATAACTAGGGTGAAAGATTCTGTACTAAAACGCGAAAAATCAGCACAAAATTAATGAATGAAAGACCTCACCTGCGAATCAAAATCTGGTTCCTCTTGAAAACTACCCGCTGCAACCTATCGGGCACGATATGAACTCAATTGATAAAAGGGTAAGAACACCTACACTTTATAGAAGCAGAACAGCAATTGCCAACTTCAGATTTAGGTTATGGCCAACCAAATTAGATTATAGCGGGTCACATTTATAGCAAGAAAAGGAAGTACCGCTTCGTTTTGGTTCCTGGCAGCAGCATAGCAGCTCTGATTTAGTGTCTCGTAGGATTAAATTACCTGTCTTATCTTTTCTGTTGGCAATAAATGGTTTCTGAATTTACAGCTTTTACAGTTCAATCTTAAAGTGTAAGTGCGTTTAAATCGTATCCACAACGTATACGTGAAAGTGGTACAGTATCAAAGCTTGTTTTCTGTGGTGCTGGGGATATTTTGGAAATAGTACGGAATAGGATAGAAAAATAATGGGACTTGATTTACTCATTCAACCGACGTTTTCTTCAATCAGCCAGTCCAATTTCCTACTTCAACGAAGAAACAAAACTGGAAACTTCTGTTTTCAAAATAATGGAACAGAAACATTTAAGTGTTCTTTTCAGAACTCTTTAGTGTCATTTCAAATCAGAGAAGGAGGTTCGTTGATCGCCGCTTTGAATTAAAGAGCTCCCAACTTTAAATTGGTTCGCAATAATGGTAACAGGAATTGACAACAAACGATTATAACATTTGCAAAGCCCATTCTGTTAACCTCAAGGAAAATAGTCCAGTGATTTGTGGGTAAACTTAGCATTGACGTATTTCCTCGGGCATTCTTACCCCTGAATTTATATCAGATTTGAGTTTTGTTTGCATTTTTTGACTCCGGTCTTCATGGTTTTGTTTTTGCGATGAGCTGAAGACCAGAAACTTTTGACCGGCAACTTTCTTGAAATGTCACTCAAGTGATTTGGAATGAACAAAATTTTCGGCTTTTGTCCAAAATCGGATTTATTCCGACATTTCAAAATCTAATTAATTGCAGTAGACAAAAACTCAACCATTGAACACAAAAAATTGTATTTTATGAAATATCCAAAATAGAAACTGTTGATCGGCAATTTTCTTGAAATGTCACTCAAGTGATTTGGAATGAACAAAATTTTTGGATTTTGTCCAAAATCGGATTTAATCCGACATTTCAAAATCTGATTAATTGCAGTAGACAAAAACTCAACCATTGAACACAAAAAATTGTATTTTATGAAATATCCAAAATAGAAACTGTTGACCGGCAATTTTCTTGAAATGTCACTCAAGTGATTTGGAATGAACAAAAATTTTGGATTTTGTCCAAAATCGGATTTAATCCGACTTTTCAAAATTGGATTAATTGCAGTAGACAGAAACTCAATCATTGAAGTCAAAGAAACTTGTATTTGATAAAATATCCAAAAAAGAAACTGTTGACCGGCAACTTTCTTGAAATGTCACTCAAGTCATTTGGAATGAACAAAATTTTCGAACTTTGACAAAAATCGGATTTATTCCGACATTTCAAAATCAGATTAATTGCAGTAGACAAAAACTCAACCATTGAACACAAAAAAAATTGTAATTTATGAAATATTCAAAAAAGAAACTGTTGATTTTCGGATTAACTGCAGTGGAAAAAAAACTCAATCACTGAAGACAAAAAAACTTGTATTTTATAAAATATTCGGATCAATTAAGCAATCTCCACCCCCCCATTCTCGCGTGAGGGAGATAGCTCAATAGGTACTTGAGACATGTTTATAATCACTTCAAAGTTGCTTGAATGAAATGGACTCATAAATCAGATTCCTCAGCGATAGTGGAACGCCACAATCTACAATATCAAAGCTCAAAAATTACATTCAGAGTGAAAAAAAAAGATCAATAAAACTGATGCAACTTTAGTCGCATACAGTTTTTTCTGTCCTAAATGAAAAAAAAGCAACTTTAAAGTGCTGCGGTGAACAGTTTTTGATATTCAGACACCAGGCTAGAGCAACAACCCTGGTAAGTTGCTTTGCTCGATGAGGCAATGGTCGCCCAAACAAAAGTTTTCAAAAAGATTTTGAAATAAATTTTGATTTTTCTTTTTCAAATTTTCTCTCGATACTCATATAAAATAAACTTCAGACGGTCAATTGATTGCTTACTACGATTACTTTAACCATCTACTTGCGTTTTCTGACGTTTTTGTGTTGCGTTTTTTTGTTTTTGCTTGGGGGGATATAGCTCAATTGGTCATTAGGAGGTGGGAGATTGCTTAATTGATCCAAACATTCAAAATGCTCGACAAAATAGTCCCTAAGTTATACAAAATTCATAACGTCGAATCCACATGCACTGAGTCAAAAAGTCGAATCCTCAGGCCCATCATAAACGGAATCCTCAAATCTTTTCAGTGGCCCAAAATACAAACAAAAGACCTGTTTTTTCATATGAAACATCCCCCTCCCAGTTATTGAGTGCAAGCAGGTCAAGATACAGCTGATGCAAATGTTTTCAACTATTCGAAAATTTTTCCCAAGATTTTGTCTTTGACCTTGCAATGTTTTGAAATAAAGGATGAAAGATTTGCTATATCATTGATGAAACTATCTAAAATGAACTATAAATTTCAATAAATCTAATTTTTTTATTTAAATTATCTGCCCTAGCTTCAAACAAAATCTAAGGCACCCAAACCTCGAGTTTCACCAAGAGACGGGTCTCTTCATAAAAGACAACCATCGTTCGTGCAAAAAAAGTTAAACAGTTTCCTGCGCTAAGTTTATTATGCAATTGAACATTGGAAATTTGGAAATGAATTATGAATTCGTTTTATACAGCAATAAAAACTGAAACTGAAAAAAAAACAATTTTTTTCTAAAGTAAAGACAGACAGCACAAACTGAATAAGTAACATTCTATAAATTCAGTACGCACAAAAAACTGCGTGATTACTAATTGAACTGGTATAATTTTTTCAAACTTTCAAAAACTTGCTACATTTTTGCTTCGGTCATCCACTTAAGGTTGAAGACTTTTTTTACACAGAGGCAAAGCTGCGATGCGCAAACACTTGCGAAAACACGGTCAAAAAGCAGCTCTATCAAGAGAAATAAGAAAAAGTAGAAATAAGCCTTGAATTAGCAAAAACACGGCTACATGTAGGATTCGAATCTGCGACCTACTGCAATCAGGAGATTTTGAGTCTCACGGACCATTAACTCAGCCACGCAAGTTTAACAACCGACAAACACTAATCACGAATAAAGCAGCTATATATGCTAGTATATTTCCAGTGCAACTCAGCAAAAGAGGCACCAGATAAAAAATAGACTCAATTTTGCAAATAATGATTTGAAATATAGCAAACTGAAGGTATCCACACTAACTTTGCATGTAACAAATCGCAAAGCATAAAGCCACATTATGTATAAAAGATGCATTTCGAAAAAATTGCGAGATACATTGAGTTACAAAATTTCTGAAATCAAGTTTTCATGACTGTTATATTGTTTGAAAAAAATTACTTTTTTTTTCGATTCATTTGTTGAATTAAAAATGCATCAACTGTGTTAAAGTATTTTTTATTCGATTATCAAAGCACATGCTATGAAAAAGTTGTAAAACTGCACCAAAAAATTTTGCGATCTAGGTTGAAAAACAAAGAAGGTTCGTACTAATACACTCGCTTGGCAAGCGTAAATAGCGCTGATGAAAGATATGAACTATGGAAACTTTCGCCGTCAGAGTTTAAACTTCCAGCCGAATCAGAAAACAGATCATAAATTGGTTGAATATAGATATTTTACTAAAAATTTTTGAGATTTAGTCAAGTGAAATTTTCTTATGTTTCAAGCTAGCGATATATACAAAAATAGATAATAGATATTCTGTGCCCAAAACAAATTTAAGGCATGCAAACTTCGAGTTTCAGTCAAAGACGGGGTCTCAAGGTAAAACACTAGCTTCACTCAGGAAAAAAAAACAGTTCAAGCTATTTTTGCGCTTTTTACATTTTGGCAATTGAAGTCGGAGTTTGAGCTGCTAATTAAGTATAAGTTTGAAAAACCAGAGTTTATATCAAAAGATCCTTAATTAAACTAAGAATTGCAACAAAACTCAAAGCAACACCTATATAAGTAAAACTCTATGTATTCAACACATGGTCCACAAAATTACGATACTACCTTGAAAGTTTTTTTCTCAACTAAACGTATAAAACTCACGAACAACTAACAAGCATTTGCAAAAAATTTTAAAAGAGGATTAATTTTTTATCATGTTTCGGCTTTTTAAGAAAAAAAACATTTTTTTTTCTGATGGAGTCATTTTTGAAAATAACAATAGGGAAACAAAAAAATGAAACAAAGATTCATTCATGACTATTAAACTATTATCGTACAAACTGCAGCTTTACTGATGGAGAGCGTAGTTTTTTTTCCCTATTTAGCAAAAAAAAATTGATGGGCATTCAAAATAAATCAAAGTTCAACCCAGCATGAAATGAGTTTTTGCGTAAATAAATTTTTCCAAAAAATGAAGTTCATTTTAAAACTTTTTGATTAACAAATTTTTAATTGAAAACACCTCACAAAAACAAATTAAGTCTTTTCCGGGTTGGCTTTATGAAAAGCCTATTTGGTTTTGACAACACCTGCTAACAGAAAATATAGGCAGCAGATAGTTGGAAACAGGTTAAGAAATTCAAGGAGGCCAAAAAAATAATTGCTGCTTCTTGAACTAAAATAATCTTAAGTTATACAGAAAAAAAACTTCAACTTAAAATTCTTTGCATTAATAATTTTTTATTGACACTCCTGATTTAAATATCGCACTTTGAGAAAACTTAAAAAGAAGCCTATTAATTCAATAAGCTTACTAAATTACAATAGATTTTCGAAACTTTCAACTGAAATACTTCATTTAAAGTTTTGTTTCAAGAAAGGACAATTTCTGTTCTTTTTAGCCAATGAAATTTATTTAACTTTGAAAACAAATGGAATTAATGAGCCAAGTAACAAAAAATCAAACTGAGCGAGAACACGTTTAAGTATTGAAACAAAAAAAAAAACAGCAAGTCCTACTAACGTAACTTCAAAATGTTCATTGATGAATTTTTAAACGTTCATTGAAAGTTTGAAAATTTAAAAATTCATCTCGTTTCAATGTTTGTAACATTTTCATGACAAAAATGCAAGTTAGTTTGAAGGTTGAAATTTTCATTTAAAAGATGTTGGTGCGTTTTTAAACCATCGCGAGCTATTTGCACAACAAAGCGCTGTCATTGCTGCTGCGTAACTTCTGTTAAGCATGTGTGAAATTAGGAGAACATATGAACAATGTTTAAAAAGTTTTCTAAAAAATGAGAACCAGCTTAGTTTTTAACAAGGCATTTCATCTTCTTACTAGGTCTAGTTTTTTTAAAAGTTTTTTAGACATGATGTTGTTTCTTGCTTGTATTTGCAAACAATCAGCTTTGCTTGTGTCAAAAGAAAACACAGATTTGCGATACAGAAGTGAATAACATTGGTTGAAAACATTTTGAAACAACTTATTTCGTTTCGCAAAGATGAACTGAAACTCAAACATCAAGATGAATAGACATTCATGTCATAAAGTCTATTGCGAAGCGTCTCACGAATATATCAGGGAAATATATTTTATCAGATGAAACTTCAGATCTTTCTAAACTTAGGCTTTTTGCTTTTTGACTGTCACCAAAATTTTTTTAAAAAGGAGATGGCTTGCCGCTTCAACTAGTTATTAACAAACATTTTTAAAAAACGATATTTAAAAACTTCACTGGAAACGATTAATAAAACATCATACTGCAAAAGTTCGAGTTCCGGGCCTTTGTCGCCCCAAGTATCGGCGTTACCTCTGCGCACATGGAGCAGAAAAATTTATTGATTTTGAATTTATTATAAAACAAGCTACTTTCTCAAGTGCGAATTCTGCAAACAGATTTATTAACGGGAAAGAAAAAATCTTATACTCGGTTACGATAACCTAGCTTATCACCAGGGTAGCAATTTCCAAACAACTCAATCTATTTTTTGAAGTTCTAGAATGTTTTTGAAAAAGGAAACAAAAGAATGAATTGAAAACGCTTCAAATACTGACTATTTACAAAAGCAAACTCCCGAGCGCAATACAGCAATAGCATTCGCTTGAATATTGCAATTAAATTTGGTGGCAATCTCGATAACCCGGTTCTCTTTCCTTTCTGTGCCGATATATAAAAAAAAATACAGTTCAGACCTAGCTGAAATTTAAGATATTTCCATCCTCAATTTGAAAAGGTTACACCTGCCCCAAACCAGTTTTAGGGAAGTGAACGTCTTGATTTAAACTAATTAAAAAACCAATTTAACAAAACGCGCTCAGCATAATTATAACTCAATGAAACAAAGCAGCAATATCTTGTCTTGTCCTATTTTATAGGAAGATTAAGAAATGATGTTAAATTGATCTGAAGTAGCTTTCTACCAAAAAAATGGCCAATTATAACGAGGAAAAAGAGCCGTTGTGTTTAAAGAGTTTTCATTAAAACTAAAGTCCATGTCGTTTAGTGGCGCTGTATCTGTCAGTCAAAAGTTGACTCAAATCTTGACACATTACAGCCGAATGAATGGCAGATTTGTATCCGATTTGTGATAGGTCAGGTCAGGTCAGGTCAAATGCAGTATGAAACATCTGTCAGCAGTCTAAGAAATTGGAAGCCATGAGTAGTTCCAGGGCTATCTCGGTTGAGATCGGGAACTCGGGTATCTCTGTGGAACTGTTTGTATAACGGGTTTTGTATGCGAAGTACTGACAGACTTTGCTTAACACGTGCGAACTAGAAACAGAAATTAAGCACATTAAATTTACCAATTAATCACTTAATCGAGAACCTTGCAGCTGAAAATTAATCAAATAACAACAAATAATCAATAACCGTCTACGGATATGTTATCAATATTGACAAGCTTTCAGAGCTTTTTGTCAATTTTCAACAAGATTAAGGATTCATTTCACGATGGAATATTTTGACCACTCTTAAAATGCTACCATCTACATTACAAAGAAATTTATTTCGGCAGTAAACTATTCCGAAAAACCGACTTTAACCTACTACAAACCCCTCAACTTCTATGATACCCTAAAACAAAAAAAATAACTAAAACACATGGATTTCAGCGAAGTTTCAGAGAAAAAATCAACCTTACATCGAACTTTTCAAAGGGGGGGGGGTTGTTAAGAGTTTTCTTCGGATGCACTCACGGTATTTCTCTGAAGTTCACTTCATTCGCCTCATTCTCTGCATACTGTCCGGGTCCACTCAACATGGCCTTGATAGTTCCCGAAGTGAGAGCGTGTTCTCTCCTCACTACAAATGTGTGTCCGTCCGAGGATATGAGTCTCACGTACTGCGAGTTGGGTCCTTCCACTCCCCCATACTGGGAGGAATCATCCGCCCCCGCTGGCCCATTCGCATTGTTGTCTTCGGTCATTACACTATCTAAAAATGCGGTACAAACTTCAAAGTTGCGTCCCTGAAAAAAGCAAGTATGAAAATTGCGTCCCTCGGCGCATTCCTTGCTGTTAGATATTTTTAAATCAAGAATGTCAGAACATAGTGGGGTATTAAGGCCTCAGTTAGGATTGACTGGTAGCAGTAACTACATTTTCCGTCCCGTACGTGCGCAAAGTTTGGTACCAATGAAACATAGCTAAAAGGCAGTTGAAAAAGAGCCAATGAACGCCTGAAACAAAAAATACAGAGTTGTTTTTTTTTTACAAAGTTTTTGTTTTGCAAAAAAACGTCAATTTTCGACTTTCAACGTAAAAAAATAGATGGCATTAAAACTCTTAAAATTTCAAGAACTATTTATTACTGACTGTTTTTTTCGATAAAATTCTTGCAAATTGAGAAGACAGGATCGATAGATAAAGTTTTTATTCCGCTGGGAAATCTGCAAATTAAAATCCAGTTTCCAAAATAGAAATCGATCACGTTTGTTTTATAGTGGAGTTTGCCTTCCTTGCAACAAGGGAAATGAACTGAACTTAGAAGAAATTAAAACTCAAAGCGGGGAAAAGTAAATTTGAGCGTGAACAAATTTAATGACTTTCCTGAAAAAAAATCACGCTCACGTTCATCGACTCAAGTGCGTCATCAAAAACAATTTTAACCAAAAAAAAAAACATTTTCACTGTTAACTTTTAAAAATCGTAATAATCATTCAATGACTAGAATCACGAGCCAATTACAATTACTGAGTCGGTGCGTATACTATTAAACTAACAAAATATGTACAGCTGTTCATTTTTGTACTGGTTCATTTACATGTGAATGGCAAAGTCGTAAAACATTTGTCAAAGAAGCAACAAGTTGCGTTTGATCCCATTAGCCTTTCAGTTTTAAAAGGTTTGTTTCGCCATTGCTTTGTTTTTTGTTCCGACTTTCGATACGAAAGTAACGGAATATTTGTGCTCGGGGTGGGTTTTTTTTTCTTCAGACAAATTTCGACTTTTTAACTAGCCATTTTTGACAGAATTTTTTATATCATTCAAAAGGTATTGTTGTCCTGAGCTTAAATTTGAAAAGATATTTCACCTGTGATCATTTTTCGTAAAGTTATGAGGGTTTAAAGATTGCTATTTTAACCAATTTGGGACAATTAACGAGCGATATAATTCGCGCTATTAACGCGTAAGCGGAGATTTAATCCGTCCTATAAATCGTTCGAAATTGGTTGAACGAAGCTATTTGCCATTATTAATTTGTTACAAGGAACGAAATCTCTCTTTTTGTATTTTATAAGGCGTGTGGGGGGATGATTTTCATTAAATATTTCAAATTTTAGAGAAAAAAAATTTTCATTTTATTTTATTTCATTTCATTTTTTTAATGTTATTACTGCTGCTCCATAAACCCTAAAAGGCAGTCGGAACATTCAGGGCTTCGCCCTGATACGAGCAGTCTTGTTTGTTTTTGTCAACGAAGTGCAGCTTCGCCTCGATGTATATAATCTTAAAACAAATTGATTTTAAAAATAACGAGGTTTGCATTAAATTGAAAGACAAAAAAAATTTATATGCAAAAAAAAGAAATGGCTGTTGGTTCAAGATATGAGAATTAGGCGCTTTTTTTGAAGGATAGATGCTCAATATATCTTTTATACAACAACTCTGGTTGTTTCGACTCTAGAATGAAAACAAATTTTTGACGCTGGGATGGTTTTTACTGTCGATATTCGGATTTTTAACTAAGCGTTTTAAAGGGAAATTTTTCATACCACCTGAAAGATAGTTTTCCAGAGCTAAAAATGCATGTGTCAAAACTTAATGATACAATTTACATCACCTTAAAGCTCAGTTAATTCCAATCAACTTAAATCATTTGCTTGATATGTATTTGGTACAGCTAAACTAATTAGAGAATATAGATAAGTAATTTTCGTATTCCGCTCGAAAAGCTAACAATTGAAATCCATTTTGAAAAAGTATCAAGATCCTTTGTCAGTAATTATTTTGTTGTTACTATTAGACGGCGGGGCAGTTGATTTTGAAGTAATTTTTTTTTAAAAAAATCTAAGTCAAATCGCCGAAATTTTCCGTATTTCCCACAATATTTTTTGGGGAAAACGTCATCATCACCGTTTGTTATCCACCTTTTTCCTGGACCCGACAAAGAATCAAACATAGCCAAAAGTTGTCATTGCAATTAATTGCACTTTGTTTTTCAATCTAAGAAGACAAATCCACAGATTACAGCATGCTGTGACACCAGATTGGTCATCATTTTATGTTTAGAAAAATTTTTCGTCGTTGAGATGCAGAGTGAATATACGTCTGACATATTTGAGTCTGAATAGCAAAAAAACCCGACCCAGTTTTCCTCGACACTGACAAAGTCGTCTACATTTTTTGGCAATCCGAATATCGACTGAAAGGGCATTGATAAAATACCACACTTGCCAAAATTGCCCGCAAAAATCATCTCTACGCTAAAAGTCCAACCCGCCCAATAAGGAGGCAGTGATGTCGAGTATAACCACTTGTGAAACCAATTGGTTTAAAAATGGTTCGCTATATGATTTAAATAACAACGGATAGGTTCAGCCAATCTAGTTAAGATATAGCCTTATTTAACCAATTAAATTGGCTCATTTATTAGCTCTTCAGGAATGCATTCTGAATCTGATTAAGGCCAAATGATCAAACAAAATATTTAAGCCATTCTAAACCTTCGCTCAGTCGTGTTCCCTCAATCGACAAATGGCAACTTAATACACTTTGCTTCAAAGAATTCGCGCGTCCTATGTGCAAAAACATGCTAATTTATAATAAGTAATATTCATAAAAAAGTATTTATAATAAGTTATATTTATAAGAAGTATTTATAGTTAAAAAATCTCAAACTTTCGAATTTCAAAGAGAAAAATAGATACCATTTAAGCTCTTTGAATTTCTTGAACAATTTATGACCAGCACTTTTTTGACACTGAGGTGAAGTTGCACTTCGCATACACAAGCAAAAATATGACCGATAACGCTACTGGAAAAACTGAATTAGTTTAACTTTGAGTCTACAAAATTTCTTAAGGGACACAAGCCAATTACACAAGCAGTCCTTCGAAGAAGAAAATTTACCAATTGCACATGCCTCAATTTATAGTGAGGACGCATTTTAGCTAGTATACGAAAAAGTTCATTAAAAACATCCGACCCTGCCCAGGTTCGACCCTCTGATTTTGTTGCGGGTCTCCTCCCTACTTCTATGCTACAGATACACGATACCTTGAAGCTAAAGTGCTATTTTTATTACAAAATTGCTGGTATCAGGGCGAAGCCCTGATTGTTCTGACTGCCTTTTAAGGTCTATGCAGCAGTAATAACATGAAAAAAAAATGTTAATTAAAATAAAATGAACTTTTTGTTAAATTTAAGACTTTTGTGAAAATCATCCCCCCACACGCCATATAAAGTACAAAGTGATTCATTTCGTTCCTAGTAACAAATCAATTATGGCGCATAAGCTTTTTTCAACCAATTTGGAACGACTTCTAAGACGGATTAAATCTCCGCTCCTTCGTTAATAGCGCGAAACATATCGCGCGTTAATTGTCCCAAATTGGTCGAAATGGCAATCTTTAAACCCCCATAACTTTACGAAAAATGATCACAGGTGAAAACTCTTTTCCAATTTAGGCTCAAGACAACAATACCTTTTGAATGATACTTAAAAAAATTCCGTCAAAAATGGCTAATTAAAAAGTCGAAATTTGTCTGAAGAAAAAAAACACCCGAGCACAAATATTCCGTTACTTTCGTTACGAAAGACGGAACAATAATAGTCGGTGCTAAAATCCTTAGCTTTGGCTGTACTTAATCGCTGGTTATTGCTCAAAATGAACACTTTCAAAATGGACACATTTTATCGTAATAATATTTGCGACTTGGGTTGGAAAAAAAAGATAGTTCACACTATAACAGAAGCAATGCCAGTGAAATAGCATTAACCCAACTTGAGAAAACTTGATCAATAAGGAAAGTTTTTACTCCACTGGAAATCTAAAAGTTATATTCCTTTTTCGAAACTAGAAATGGTTCATTTTTTTTCGAAACAATAATATCAATATTTACAAATTTATGGAAACAGAGGGTGAGGAGAAAAAGATTGAATTAGAGAGGTGGGTAGGTGTAGACCTCCTGTTCAAATCAACAAAAAACGATGAATAGACTTTTATTAAATAGTGAACAATTTTTAAACAGGTGAACACTTTAGATAATTAGATAATGACTGACTGTACATTTTTTTGACAAGGGTATTCATAAACCAGTGATATTTGCATCTTTAATAGCAGCTTCCCTTCGGAAAAACCATCCCAGGTTGAAAATATTTGTACACTTCTCCAGTTTAAAACTGTCACCTCTGACTGCGTAATTGGTACTATGAACATTTGCTCAAAGTAGAACTGACCAATTCGTGCACTTTCTTGAAAATCTAAAAACACAAAACTGTCTAAGCACTCACGAAGCAATTACTTATTCGTGGATACCGCACGAAGTAGAGCTGACAACGTTTTAAAAATGACTGAGCATTTTTTGAATTTGAAATTTATGCATTGGATTATTCATGTTTTTGGGAGGTAAAATGATCTACAATTTCATTGTTTCAAATTGGTTCGAACTTCTCAATTGAACACTTCAATGATTGCTTCGACTTTAAAATGAATTTAAAATAATCTGGCTTTATAATAAAAATACATACATCTTCGACCGTGTCTTCGCCTTTAAACTCTGAAACCAGGTTTTCCTTTCTGTATTCCTCGATCACGTTCTGAGTGTCTACGTATGTATTGAGTCTAAAAACAAAACAACAATAACCATTCTGAAAGTCATCAACTTTTACTTATCGATTACAAAACCGTTAATAATTTTCAAGCCGGTAAATGTAAATGAAGAATTCGTTTTTGAAAGCTTGCTATGAAATATATGCAGCATAAAATCTTAACATTTCCTAGGTAGATAATACAGTAAGATAAAGTACAAAAAAATATGATTAATTAACTTAAAACTATAACACTTACGCTGGCGTAACTTAATATCTTGAACTCTTAAATCTTAAAGATTGAGGTCCTCATACCTTACGGCACAGCTGTGGTATCACTCCTAAAATGGCTAGGATATCTTAACGTTGAATTTATTTATCCGAAAACTACAATATCAAAAGTAACGTAGCTCAACGTCAAACAGAGTTAAGTTTTGTTCAATAAACATAAACAACAAAATAGTGACCACCGCAGTCGCGCCAACGTGTTGCGAGCTTGTCAACAGAGGGTGAGACTTAATACGAAATTTAGAGCCGGTTATCGCCGCAAAGCGGCGACGAGCGCGCCCACCGGCGACCTTAAACTGGACTGTTTTGTATTGGTTTTTTTTCTTCATTATATGGTTTTTTGGACTATTTTGTATTGAAATGTTTTGTATGGGACTGTTTTGGACATGCACCAAAAATTTCCCAGACTTCTGTCCCAAAAAAATTATCTAAAATAATTTCTTTGATTTGACATTGTGAACTTAAATTCTTTGATGTTCTGTGTTTGTTTAATCGTTCTATAATTAGATTTTGAGTACCAAATCAGCATTGAACAGTCCAAGCGCTACAAATTTCCAAAAACAATTAATTTGGTTGCTGATTTGAGTCCTCTTTTAATTTTACCTCTAAAGTGCTACTCAGAGAAAACTGTGGTACAATTGCTCAGTTGCGTGGATTTAACAAATTAATCCGTCTTTTTGAGAGCCTTATCAAAATAATCCGGTGGTTATCTATTCAGGCAATACACCGGATATTTTTTTTGGCCTGGAAACCAAATGTCAAAGAAAATTTTTGCTTTTTGAACAGTTTTGTCCGGGACATAAATGTCTGGGACACAGCCGTTACAAGCATTTTGGATAATACCTCAAGTCAGCGCTTCCCAAATTAGCTTATTATATTAACAACAAAGAAAGCTGTTTCTTTTCTACATCTTTGTTACCTGTTCCCTTTCTTAGTTTTCGTAAAAATCTGCTAATGGAAATTTTTACAACAAAATCTACAACGTTTTTTGTGCGCCATTTCCATATTTGTTATTGGAGAGCGTAGTTAAGCTTCTTTTTAGCAAAAAAATTAATTAATTTAAAAAAAAAAGAATTCGAAAGTCAACTGCGAAAAAGTTTAGCGTGAAACTTCAACCATATATATAATAATGTACATTTTTCGATTTCAGGCCGAAAATTCTACAAAAAGGACTTTTGAGAAAAAGGTTTTATTTTTTCTTTACGCTTATACATACTTTGTGTTACACGTAAAACAACAATAAAAATTGAAAGTATGTATAAGCGTAAAGAAAAAATAAAACCTTTTTCGCATTAAATCCTTTTTGTAGAATTTTTGGCCTGAAATCGAAAAATGTACATTAATATATATTGGGTCGAAGTTTCACGCTAAAATTTGGTTTTTCGCAGTTGACTTTCAATTTCTTTCTTAAAAATTAATTAATTTTTTTTTGCTAAAAAGATGCTTAATATATACGTGTAACACAGAGGCGAAGCTGCGCTTCTCAAACACTTGCGACAACACGACCAAAAAGCAGCTATATCAAGTCACATTAGAAAAAGTTGAAAGGAGCCTCGAATTTTCCAAAATCTCGAGGCTTAAAAAAACTCGAATTAGCAAAAATCTGCGACTTAAAATCCCATAAATGCAGCTACATATGCTAATAAATTGCCAATTCGATGCAGCAAAAGTAGCATCAAATACAGAAAGATACAATTTTGTATGTAAAAAATTGCAAATCATAAAGCCACATTATGTAAAAATTGTGCATTTCAAAAAATTGCGGGATATATTGAGTTAGAAAATTTCTGAAATCGAGGTTTTATTATTGTTATGTTGTTTGAAAAAACAACAGCTTTCTTCGGTTCACTTGAATTAAAAATGCACCAACTGTGTAAATTTATAACTACTCGAATGTCAAAGCACATGTTATCAATAAGCTATAAAGGTGCAACTAAATATCCTAAGTATAACAAAACATCAAAATATCTTATTGCCAATTCCATGCAGCGAATTCGACGCAACAAATATTGTTGCTTTAAGTCGCAACAATAATTGCGACTTAGTCGCAACAACAAAAATGGTGCTTTTATTGCCATGCCAAGTTTCATTGCATTACGACAATCGTAAAGTAGTTTTTTTAATGAAATTCAAAGGTGGGGGAAGGGAGTTGAAAAGAGCCAAAAAATGTCTTTTTCAGACCTGACAAAACTCAAGCAGATAAATTACTAGTAGACCTGGTTGGATCATAAAACAACTTACCCTGAACTGAGAACAAGTGTGGTGGATCAAAATGATAACATTGAGGCAAAGCTGCGCTACGCAAACACTAGAGAGACAACAAAAAACCAGCTCTATAAAATGAAATAAGAACAAGTAGAAAGAAGCGTCGAATTAGTAAAAAGTTTGCTACGTGCCGAAATCGAACTAAGACTTCGAGAGTCTCACATTCCTCCCTTTCATCCACGCGCGTTTCACGATTGACTAACACTCGACAAAAAACAAAGCAGAGAACAGATACTATAAAATGTATCAAATTTAAATGCCTTGGCTCTTAGTTTTATTTCATAATTGCCACTAAATGGGTACCATCACTTTTATTTGTGAGTCAGTTGGATAAAAGTAGAGTCGTACTAAAACCCTACGCTCGCTAGCTGGCTAGTGTAATAACATGGAAAAAAAAAGTTGGAAAAGGTACAAAAAAAATAAATATTTCAATTTCAGGCCAAAAAATTCTTTAAGACTTCTGCCGAAAAAAATGATATTTTCAGACCTCACGTTAACGCAAGCAATAAATAAGCAGTAGACCAGGTTGAAACATAACTATTCCACCCTTGACTGTGAACAATAATGGTGGAACAAACTTACGATGAAGATGAAAACGTTAAACTAGCTCTACTTGCCTCTTTTTGATGCTCTCCACATTGTCATCCGACCTCCCACTGCCCCCCGCGCCCCTCTTCAGACACCTGTCAGTTGCCACTTCATCTGATATATTGAAGAACAGCACCCCGTGTACCCTGGCCACTTTGTCCATCTGTTTGTTCCACCCGTCGTAGTTGTCTTTGTTCCTCGGGAAACCATCGATTAGGAACAGAAGACGATCACTGCTATTCACCAGGCTCTGTTGTTTCTCCATTGCCTACAACAATAGGTTCCAAATTGCCACGAAACTCACAAAAAAGTCATCAAGAACTAGTATTATTTTTTCACTGAGAGCTTTATTCTCAATCGAGACAAGTAACTTAATTAGCAAAGTAAGGTTAAAGTCGATATAAAACTGAATTAGCAACTCACATGGAACATTTCACAATCCTTGACTGAAATTGGTTCGGGGAAACTCACGGATTGGTTTATAACTTTCTCCCTCTTTCAGTCCAATAAAACAAACACTTTGTAGACTACTTTTTTAGTTAGGCCAATAGATGGTTATTTTACTGAGGACAAAAATATTTATGAATTCTCTTCTGAAACACCAAAAAAAAACAGTTTGATAAGCGAAGCCGAAACCAATAATCTGAAAAGCCAAAAAAATATGTTAGAACTTTTTGCGAAATAGAGCCAAAAAAAAGCTGTGCTGGGGTTTTTGGAATCTTTGACCAGAAAATTGTGTTTTGTTATCCGGCGCGCTGGCACCTCTTATTTTGAATAACACTAAATTTCCACTATCAAGCGTTTCATCACATCTTTTAAGTACTAAGTTGACCAGGTTAAGCATGCCATTGCCTGTTTAAGAACTTAGGTTGTGGTCCATTATGAATGGTCCTGTCTTAACATCTATTGCAACAAAGTCTCCTTTGTGTTCTAGTTCTCACGTCTTTGGTGATGAATTTGTGATTCATCAAGAATTGCAGAAGTTATGGTTGTTCGAAAACAGTATTTGCTTTTGCAAGGATCTTATTATTAGCGATATACCTGTGAAATATTCTGATGGTAACCACTTCCTTTTTAAAATAGACTGCAGTCGATTAATCTGATACTTAATAGGGACACAAGAGGTAAAACCGATATAGCAAAGGTCAAAACTCACTAAAGAGAGTGTCAAAAAACAAAAAATCAGGCGACTACGGCATGCAAACCCCTATCTCTCGAGCACGAGCCCCGCTCTTTACCCACTGCTACGCGAGCTTATTTGTACCACGAATGTATACAACATATACAACGCTGTAGTTAACTCACGAATGCGCGGTTATATATCACTCTGCTCAAATGATTACGCAAAAAACTGCGCAATGAAACGTCCGACTTAGTCTGATAAAAAAAAGGTTCGTATTTAAAAACAAGCCTCGCTTGTGCAAAGAATGAAAAACAGCAGCTCCAAATTTGAATAAGTTTTTTGAACAATTTTTCCGGTAAAAAACGAAATAAATGCAACCTATATAAGAGTCTGAACCAAGTATGTTTACTTGACTTTTGTTATTTGCTTGATTTTAACATGTTTACTTGACTTTTTGACTTTTACAGACATTTCGCGAATATAACGAGGTCCAACTTTCATACTTACATCAAAGTTGATCCTTGCCTATTTGAAATTCAAATATAAATTGATCGAGAAAAAAATCATCAAACCTTTTGTAGCAGTGATATTGTGATCGCAACTGGGACTATTTTTCCCTCTTTGATGCAATTTTCAATCAGTTCGCTTGTCTCGTCGTTTTCTTTTCGCTTCTCTCGCAACAGATCTCCAGCCGATAGATGTCTGCATCTTGAGAACTCATTTATCACTTTTTCGCATTGAGTTCCTTTTCCCGATCCAGGTTTCCCGAGGACAAACACAACGTTAAGAGGTCCGTCAGACATTTTCGATAGATAAGATTTGCTGAGAAAATAGATTTGGAAATTGAATGGCCCAAGTAAGCGAAGTGGTTTGAGGCAAGAATGAGTTCTGCGGGTAGATTTGAAGAGAGAGCTAAAGACTTGGTTTTTGCTAAATAACATATACAAGCACTTCGATTATTTTACCAGGGAACTAAAATGCAAACTGGGTTTCATAATAAATCTGAAATAAAAAAATCAACATTAGTCTCGAAGATAAGTTTGAATAGCAACGTCAATTTTTCTAATTGAAATTTTTTAATTTTTTTTTCAAGATCCTTAAATGAAAATACTAAACAACGTACAATATCGTTAAACCAACTTTTAAGCTGAAACCGCTGACGCAAGTAGTTTATATACTCTTTCGCACCATCCGTACTCAAACCGTTTTTTTCTTCATAATACACGCAACAGCCGTGGAGAAACCATGAGTCACAAAATCGTCTTAACCAGTTCTAATTTGAAAACAAACATGTTTGTCTACTTAAATTAAAGGAAAATAAAATTTCCGCAACAGAAAAATGAGCAGTTTCGGAGTTTTTTTTAATTAGAAAGAGAATTATGCAAGCTAGGAATATTCATGTAACTTCTCCAATTATCAGCGTCTTCGCTTCATTTCACAAACTTGCGTGAAAACTGTCCTCGTGATCTGAACAAGCTCTCGTAGAACACGAAATCAAACTTCGAATCCGGGAGGTAGCAAAAGAACTCAAATATAGAGACTACGACTGTCCATAGTGACGATACTGCGGCTTCAGTTCCCATGTGAATCTGTGAGGTGGATTTCTGTTGTAATCTGCAATTTCTGTCAGAATATCTTTCAGGTAGCCCTGAAACATCAATTTCTCATGCGCTAAAAAGTCAGCACTTCTGACCATAGAAAAACGATTTTCAGTTTCAGAAGACCAATTTAAGGAGCATTGGAGCATCAATCAAACTTCTGATTTTTAAAGCAATGAACACATCTAATCGTAGGTCTGGTTCAATTTACCTTAATTTCAAATGATTGATTGTAATTTGAAGAACCATCAGCTATTAAACAAAGTTGACAAACAAGGGAAGATTGCTTTGAACTATAAATATTGTTTTACACAGAAGCGAAGCCGAGCTTCGCACTACTTATGATATAACACTCACACACAAAAAAAAACATATAGAAAAAAGTAGAAAAAACTAGGTGAACCAAAATGTTCTCGTCTAAATAAAAAACAAGTAGGGCCTCAGAGAAAGCTGGAAGTATGTCTTAAATGTTGAACGAAATTGATATACAGATAAACGGCACGAAAATGCTAAACGGCACGAAAAATGTGATTTCAAAAATTGGACTTTGCCCAAAACCTGGTAGTTGTTTCTCTACCAAAGAAACAAAAAGTGAAACCTACCATTATCGCAACGGGTTCCTTCAGTTAAAGTTTTCATCTCAGATTTGATTGTTTATATTTCAAGAACATTCAAAAAGTTTCTAAACCACGATCAAAAAACCTAAAAAATGGTCAAAGTGATTTCCAAAATCCAAGGTTTTTTTCCTGGAAGAACAAGTTGTGGCCACTTATGCAGAAAAGATTCCCAAAACCAGGTTTCTCGATTAAAAACAACCCTCGACTTGTGTGAAGGCAATTACTTCTTTCTTAAACAAGAGGGGCACATCCAATTACCAAAGTAGGCGTTCAACAACCTGTTTTTTCGATTGAACCCGTGATATGAGATTGGGCAGGATGGTTGGCGAGAAAAGTCCAAAAAACGGTCAACTAATCAAAATTTTGACATTTCCGAGAATCATAGCTTTTTGTGTAAAAAAATAGGGCGTAGCCGCTTATGCAGAAAGGATTCACTCAACCTGTATAGTCGATTGAACCCAAAATCTCACATTTGGGAGGATAGTTCGAGAAATGTCAGACACTTAAAAAAAACTGTCAAAAATCAAAATTTTGACTTTTCCGAGGGCCATAACTTTTAGAGACAGAAAAACTTGGGAGTAGTCGCATAAGCAAATGAGCTTTCCACAAACCGTTTTTGAATTAAACTCAAAATCTCAAATATGGCACGGTAGTTTTCGAGAATATTCAAAGTTTAAAAAACGGTCAAAAGTCAAAAATTTGACTCTTCCGAGAGCCAAAACTTTATATGTTAAAACAAATTTGGGCGCAACCACTCATTCAGGTAGTTTTTCGAAATCGTTCCAAACATTTAAATCGAAAACTCAGACTTGAGAGAGGTATTATTCGAGAAAACGAAAAAAAATCAAAAATATGGGTCAACTATTTTCTCCACTTTATCGAAGGCTGTAGACAGAGGGTCAAGTAAAAAGGGACTCTAGGGGGGGGGGGGGGGGGTATACAGGCCCACAAGAAGGAGGCGGTCTTTCAGTTAATACGTTTTTCTGAAAAGCAGCAGAAGTTTCTGAGAAAAAAAAATTTTCGAATGAATTTGGAAAAAAATTTCTATAATGAAAAGAAAACTAAAGAAATTTCAACAAACCGATACAAGCGACACGAAAACTGCAGCAAAAGCGAAACTTTTTTGAGCAAAAGAAAAAAAGAAGGAGATACGAAGTCAAGGTAAGTAAAATTACAAATTTTAGGAGTAAAACAAACATGAGAGAAAATGCGCGCAGGAAAATAAGATATGACAACTAAGCCGACAACAGATAAGCAGACATAACTGGCCGAATACTTTATTGAATATTCTTGAGACAGAAAATTTCTCGTCTGAAAAAAAAAACAGGTCGTGGTCCTGGTCAGATTCAAACCCAGGACCTTTGCCGTCCCAGGCATATTTGTAACCATATTTGATTTAGTTGGCCGGGAACGCAAAGAAGTATGATTTCACACAGAGGCGAAGTTGAGCTTCGCAAACACTTGCGAGAACACGACCAAAAAGCAGCTCTATCAAGTGAAATAAGAAGTAGAAATAAGCCTCGAACTAGCAAAAACTCGGCTACGTGTAGGATTCGAATATGCGACCTCCTGCAATCAAGAGATTTGGAGTCTCACGCACTATCCATTCAATCACCCACGCAAGCTTAACAACCGACAAACACTGGTAACAATTAGAGCAGCTACATGTGCAGATAACTTACCAATGCATGTCAGCAAAAGTGGCACCAAATACAAATAGACTCAGTTTTGCATGTAATAATTTGGAATATAACAAACTGAAGACATCCACACTAACCTTGCATGTAACAAATCGCAAAGCATAAAGCCACATTATGTATGAAATATAAATTTTAAAAAAATTTCGAGATATATTGAGTTAGAAAATTTCTAAAATCGAGTTTTCATTATAGTTAAAATGCATCAACTGTGTTAACTTATTACTATTCGAATGTCAAAGCACACGCTATCAAAAAGCTGTAGAGGTGCCCGACCACTATTGGGGTGCCGCGCCAATATTTGCGACTTAGGCTGGAAAAAAGAAACTTCGTACTAATACACTCGCTTCGCAAGTGTAAATAAGTGATTCTGTTAAACAAGTTTTTAACCCGAAAAGTCTATATTCCAATTTGATAACCCTTGCTAATCGCAAGCGTTATAAGAACACGAGCAATCTTCTACTGCGCAAAGAGATTAAAAATTACAATCGTATCTGTATTAGCAAACATAAACCATTTCAAAAACTATTTTCAAATAATGCTTTCTTTCTTTTTTTTCTATATTTTGGGGTTCTGAAATGAAGTTCAATAGCTAGTTATTATAAAATCCTACTTAAAAAACTTTATCTTTGTCTGAATGCTACGAAATGTCGCCGTGCCAGAAGTGCAACACATCAAGATATCACTTACCACAGGCTGGCCTGTCTTCCTCTGCAAGTCCTGTATACTGTAATACTGGTGCAACTCAAACGCCTTGAATATTTTCTCCTTCACCACTTCCGGCTCCTCCCTCGTCTTCGGCTGCGCCTTGTTGCCGCCTGTGACATTGTGCACTGCATGTGCTCTGGGTCTGTAGTTGTTCACTTCTGCGGTCAGTTTGGTCAACTTAGTCGGAATGTTCTGATGTTTGAACTCTTGTCTGCAACGAGAAAAATTTTCTTCGAAGAGCTAATTTGTTCTCTATGCAAAACTTCACTAAATACGAAAACACTCAAATTATCAGCTTAATTGTAGGAGAGAGAGTGGACAAAAAATCCCTGAGAATGGTCAAAATTCCCGTTTTTCTAGTTCGCTTTGAAATAGTCAAGACGATAACCCTCAAGTTCCTGCTAAAGCATTAAATCTGAAAAATGTAGCCAAAATAACGTTTTCATTCCTAGTACAATCAAAACACATCTGGCCGGAAGTTACATCATGTTGTGACAAAGCAAAACTTACGCTTTCAGTTTCAAGTAGGACAGACTTTTGGGCGGCTTCATCTCTCCGCGTGTTTTGATGCAGCCTTCAAATTTGATTGCACCCATCACAGGCTCAATTTGGTCTATATTTAAAACAGCAAAAAGGATAGAAAAAACAAAATATATTTCAGATTTAAGTTGTATAATCATACCACGGCTCTTTTCCTGCCCCCTTGTATACTTGCTCAAGCTGAAATCTCTTTGTGTGAATTACAAAAAAAAACTTATTTTGAAAAGCCTTCAAAACTGATTTCAATAAAAAGCAAAAAACTGGGAGAGTCCAGATTTTTGACGCTCAGCTTGAATAAACTTGAATGAAACTCAGCATGTATAGGAAGCGAGATCGCTGATCTTCAAGAGCCTACCTGCCCCATAGGTAACAATCTTAAACATACACAAGCAAGCAAATACAAGTAAAAAAAAACAGAAAAAAAACTTTAATCGGGCAGAACAAGCAAGGCAAAAAATGGAAGTAAAAAATGAGATTGGAAAAACAGAACATCTCTACACCGGATTCAAACCTGTCCTCGGACACCCAAAGACTAAAGACGATTGCCGTACAGACGTGTGCCACAGGAGCTTACAAAAACCAAGCACAAGTCACCAGTAAATTGGAGAAAATATGCTATTAAACTACTAATACCATGTAACAAAAGGAACTTTTTTATTTGCAAGTTATCTTAGAAAAAAGTGAAGCTCGTAATATGACACTACACTCGACTGTGTTAAGAAACGTATAACAAGAGTTTACTGTATAAAAATGTAGAAGTTTCAATGAACTCAAAGAAACCGGAAAAAAACACGGACTTCAATTTACAAGAATATAAGCAAAAAAAATACGAGCTCTCTGAATTTCAAAAATATTTAGCGACTGACAGTTTTTCCAAGAATCTGATGTAATGTTGTAAAACAAGAATCTGATGTAATGTTATAAAACTATCCTATTTAGAGAAAACTCGGTCAAAAATTATTGCACTGGAAAATCTTCAAATTGAAAACCATTTTTGAAACCAAAAAGTCCATCACGTTCATTTGCGCCAATTGGATGTTTTTTTTTCATTAGGAAGAGTAATTTGCTTTCTTTTCAGCGATCTTTCTTTTCATCTTTAGAATATAGGTAAAAAAAGAAATGAGTGAAACTGTAAAACATCAAATTTGAGCCTTAACGACTTCAAATACCTTTTCCTGAAAAAAACCATACCTAAACAAATGATAAATCACTTGGTTCGTAAATATTTTTTGAGAGGCAGTGGAGTTTGTTTCTAACAATCGGAACATCTAAAATTCCTTAGAAGGTGAGGCAGAGCTTAGAAGGTGAGGCAGAGCTTTGCAACACTTGCGATACAACGCAAGCACAGCATTGCAAACAAGCGAACAGAAATGAGACAGAAACCATTTATTAGAAAACGTTGAAACTACATCTACAAAAATTTCATAAGTTTATCTAGATTCTTATCTTCAATTCCACAAAAACACAGCCGAGAAGCCCAATCATCAGCATTAAATAAGCATTAACAAAAGCATGCACATACTTCAAAAATCCAATTTTGAAATAAGCTCAACGTGTACACTAGCCAAGATCACTGATATTCAAGAGCCCGCCGGCACCAAAGCAGAGGAAACCTATGAAAACAATTTTTACCAGTGAATAAAATATTTTCAACAGAAAGTTCAATGAGATCGAAAAAAAATAGACCGCTATACTATACTATGTGAATTGCACACAGATGCGAAGCTGCGCTTCGCAGACACAATCAAGAAAACGACAACAATTAGCTGTAAAAATGAAATATGAGAAAAAAGGTACAAATAAGCCTTGAAAATAACAATTTTTGGTTTAGCGCATTCGAACCTACGACCAGGAGATTTGATTCATAAGTAGTCGCATCTGCCCTTGAAAGATGACTAACACCAGCCACCAATAAAGCAGTACTTTTGCATAAAATAAATTTGCCTGTGAGAATTAGGAATATAATAAGCTGAAGGCATCCCCACTAACTTTGCATGGATTAAAATTCAAAGCATGAAGCCAAAAATTGCGAGATATATTGAACTAAAAATTTTCTGAAATGCAGTTTATTATTGCACAGCTATTTGAAACGACAGCTTTTTTCGGTTCATTTCATGATTTTTAAATGCATCAACTATGTTCACTTAAAACTAATCGAATGTCAAGCGCTTGCTAATACAAAAATGAAAATTTCCCCAAGTTGCACCAATATTTAGCTTGGGAAAAACGCTGCGACTAAGGTTTAAAAAAAGAGTACTCGTATTATTACGCTACGCTCGCTAAAACTCGCAGTGTAAGCACAGAGACGAAGCGGAGCTTCGCGCCACTTGCGATACGACAATCATAAATAAGCATGAGTCGAAAAAAAGGAAAAAAATAGGTTACTAAAATAGGTTCTCAAATAAAATAAAAGAGAAGTGTGAAAACTTTTGAAATTTTGGATTTTTTCCAAAAACCTAGCCTATCTCTAAGAGAAATTAGGGAGTAACCGCTTCTGCAGGAAAAATTCGCGCAGTCGCTTTTTTCGATTAAATTTTTATCTCACATTTGATAGAGTAGTTTGTAAGAAAATTCAAAACGTTTGAAAAATGGTCAAAATTCAAAAACTAGACTGTCCTAAGTCGGTAAATTTTTTCTGCTAAACGCAGATCGTGGCCAGTAAAGCAGAAAAGATTTATAAAATCGAGCTTCTCGATTGAACGCTAACCTGAGAGTTTGCACGGTAATTTTTGAGTCGAGTAAAAAAACTTTCAAAAACAGTCCAATTTTCAAAATTTTCATTTGCTTAAAGACCATAACTTTTTTCTGAAAAAAACTGGGCATAGCAAATTATAAAGGTAAGCTTCCAACACTCTGTTGGGTCGATTAAACCTATGATATCATATTTGGCAGGATAGTTATGGAGAAAAGTCCAAAAAACAGTCAACAAATAAAAAAAAATTGACATTTTCGAGAATCATAGCTTTTTGTATAACTTATGAAGCGGAATCAAGACCGACAATCTTTGAGCATACACCAGTTGAGCTAAAAAAAAAACAATTTTGTAAAAAAAGAATAAAAGTTTCAAGTCCCCCTGAAATTAACCTGTAGTAACTAGCACACAGATTTTGCTTCAACTGATTTTGCTAAACTAGTTAACAAGAAAAAAGTCTACATTCCGATTTGAACGCGCTTGCTTATCGCAAGCGTAAGAATATAAGCAAACACTCTAAGCTCTTTGAGTGTCGAGAAAATTTCTGTTATTAACACTTTTTCACGTCTTTAATTTTTTTCAACGGTATAGAAATTGAATTGCCATGTGAAGTTATTGAGAACCTTCCTTATAGTTGAATTCATAATGGAGGAGGTTGAGGATGTTGCATTATCTCCAAGCAACCAACACGCTTCAGTTTTTAGTTTAAATATCAAACCCAACCTGATAATGGAAAAGGAGCTTATGAATCTTCTTACCCATAGCCGACCCACCATTGGCCGCAGACGCGGACTGATTATCAGTTTCTGAAAACACAGTCAATGTCAGTCTATCTACTTGGACAGGATCGATGGTGTACTTCTCAGCTACACAGACAGGCACCATGGACACACTCGACACCTCGCTGTTCGGGTTGTTCACACTTGACTTCGCATTTAGAACTGAAGGAGAGGGTTCAAAGGTCATCGAGGGCTTCTTGCCAGCCTGTCTAAAATTCGAAAGGAGAAAAATATTTATGACATCTATTCCAGACGAAAAATTCGAGAACATTAGTCTTTTCATAAATTCGCAATTCTATGCTTCTGATCAAAAATCATATGGAGATTTTTGCTGCAGATCTTCAAGGTTACAAGGTTCTTTCTGATATTTTTTGTCTTTTCATGTGAATTTTGAATAATGAAACAAAGGTAATAGAGTCAAGAATTAAGACAAAAGAGTCGTGTTAGAAACAAACTTTGAACTAAATTTGTCAACCTGGCGAAAAAATACGAAATATGGCAACAAAAAACAACGCACAAGGCGAGAATAGACAACTCGCAACAATAGACAGCTCGCATTAAAAGAGATCTCGCAATCTACTCACAGCCTCGCTAGCTAACAGGGAAATATTTATACAAAACGTGGAGCCGGTTATCACCGCGAAGCAGCGACACGCTCTTACCACTCCAACTGGCGACATGACGCCAAAACTCTTATTAAAAATATAAAATTAATTTTACAACCGTGCAATTTATCGTCTTCCTCAAACTTCGCGAATTGTTATTCGTTGCGAGTCGTCGCGGCACGAACCTGGTTACGGAAAGAGTCCCAACTGAGCTATGCATTGCACTTTGCATCAAGGCACTTTCTAGGTTCTTGGGCACTTTGATCAACCACAGGGATTTGCCGATGGATGATATATCAACAGAAGTACTATTTTCTGACATCCCATTCGACCTCTGAAACAAAATATGCTTGCTTAAAATCATTCAGAAACATTTCTACTTCAATCAATCACAGAGTTTAATCTACATGAATGAAATTGGGCTTTCACGTGAGAACCATGAACAAACCCAATTTATCACTTAATTTTAAAATACGAAGTTCCGTCGTTCCAATTATTGCTTCGACTTTCGAAGACAGTATTGGAATGTTAACAACTTTCGGAGAAAGTAATGCAATCTTTATGCTCGGTGTGGTTTTTTCGGACTAATTTTTTTTCTGACAAGACTTTAGGGAACAAAGGCGAGCACGTTACCTCTAGGCCAAGTAAGAACCAACCTGGAAGTTGTTAAGACTCAATAATAAAGCAAGCTGAAAATTTGTAGGAAAAGTTGTTCACGGGAAAAAAATTCTTGTTCCCGACTACAAGACACTAGTTCCCGACTGTGTAATAATCAATAAAAATATTAACTCCCAGAGCTCAAATAGTGGATAATTTTCAAATCAGATTGTCAATTCGCCCGAATAATTTTAGCGCCCTTCTAAAAATTAATCTATGGAGTCCGACAGGCACTTATTCCAAATTGAATCAAGGCCAGCTAATTGGTGCCATTAAATGCTACAAGACTTTTAAGCATAAACTCCATAAATTGAGAAAAAATACTATTGTGGGTGTTTTGGAAACTTAGAAAAAATTAATCACGATAACTTTAACAGAAAAAAACTTATTCGACAGAAAGTGCAGCAGTCTCTACTATACTCTACGCCGGTTTTGGTTTTGGCAGAGATAACGGTAATATAATACACTATTTTTTTAAATTTGGATATCTATCTATGGATATCTAATTTTAGCGATAATTACATTCAAGGTTATGGGCAAGTAAACATAAAAAAACACTTTCATGAAAAAATCTCAACTTTCGAATTTCAAAGCAAAAAAATAGATGCCCTTTGAATTTCTAGAACAATTTCTGTTGGCTTTTTATTAAGAACATGAACTCAACTTGAGAAAACTGGATCATTAGGTAAAATTTTTATTCCGCTGGCAAATCTTAAAGATAAATTAAACTTTCGAAACTAGAAATCTTTCACGTTTTTTGCGCCATTTCCACGTTCGTATTTGGAGAGTGCTGTTTACGTCACTTTCAGCCGATGAATTTCAATTGAACTCAAAAAGAGCATTATACCTAAGTGCATCAATACTTCAAGACTTTTTCCTGAAAAAAAAACAATTAAAAAAAATCAGCAAGACCTATATAAGAGTCTCCAATACGCTCATTAATCTTTGTCTCATCTTTTTTGTCTCACTAAGCGACAAACTATGAGGCCAATAAGACGATATAAAATAGGCCGAAACTTATCAACAACGAGAAAAAGAAAAATCTGAAAGAAATTTAAAAAACTTTCAAAAGTTGTTTAAGCCCCATCCCCTTCAAAAAATCCATGCACCATTTTTTTGCTTATTAAAGGACGCAATATGAGACCAAGAAGCCGAAATAATATAGGCCCAAACTTATTTAACCGAGAAAAAAGGAAAAAATTAATATAATAAAATTTAAAAACAATTTTCGAATAGGACAGATATTCAAAAATCTAACATGCTCAAAACATGTCTGCTGAAGTTTCCAACAGAGAGAGACACCTGCTGCAGTTCAGAGTGCAACGTGCTGGAAAATGAAGATCTTGGAACTGGATATCATCCTGTGGACAAAGTTGTTTACGGGAAAAAGTCTACTACCCGATTGCAATACGCTTGATTATCGAAAGGGTAAACACGGATATTCGGTTGCTGTGCAAGTAGCATAAAATGCTCCGACCACGCTTATCTATGAAAAAACCAATCAAAAATAAAGAAAAGTTAAAAACGAAAAAGAAAGTGTTTTCAATTTGTACGAATTACGCTGTTATTCTGTTATCATGCTTGACCCATACGAGCTCTCTTTGAGGCAACACAAAATGTTGCAAAAAAGAACTCCGCGTATGTCCTCCCCACCATTGGGGGGGGGGGGGAGTGGGGTCGGATCAACAAGTGAGAGGGCAGCCATAAAATTCAGGGTTAGTACCCATTATGCATACGTTAATAGGTTATATTCTCGAGCTTAAAGAAAACTAATTGGAATCAACTTTCTCTAGTGAAAACGAAGAACATCAAAATTACATTAACTTAACAGAAGATCACAAAACATTAAAGCTTCTAAGGCACAAAATATAATAGCTAAATTATCAAAATATTTTCACAGTCACCAGTGATACGATGAAACGAAATTTCTTTACGGAAGATATAAAATAAATTAAAACTAAAAAAATTTACTCTCGCTGTGTTCAAAATTCTTCAAGTGGCTTTAAAGTATCCATCTATACATCATTGAAAATGTAGCACAACGGAATAATTTTACACTCAATTGGCTGGTATAACTTCTTTTTGCAAAGAAGCGAAGTAAGGTGGCCGCCAAACTTGATTTTTATTAACATTGGTAAGGTTGAAGTCATTTGGTCATTTAAAGCACTACAAATATATTGAAACATGAAAACGTATAAATTTAAGGTTTTAACTCATTTTTATGAAACTTATGAAATAATTGAGTAGAAAGCGAGATTACAAAAGCTGTAAAAAAAAACTTTACGTTCATAATTTAGACAGAAAAGCTCTGGAGTCCACAGGCAAGCAGGTTTGATGATTGGATCTACCTTAAGTAAAACACGCATTAGGCAATGGTTCAGCACCTGAGTTAGTTGAAGGATAAAACGAAGACAAATCTTAGATAGATATTGCAGCACTTTCTTGAAATTAAGTCATCATAAGGCAGAAAAATGTTTGGCAGCATCGTCTTCGAAGAACTCATTGATCAGAGCGTTACCATCATCTAACATCATAACAGAATTTGAACTCGAGTCAGTATCATTTCCGAAATTGGCAACCAGTCTATTATCACTTCCTGGGCCTCGTAGCATCGCCGGCGATGACATTCCTTGTAGCGACCTAACGGGGCTCTCATTAATCTTGTTATATTGCACTAGCTGATACTGCGATTGTTTTTGCATAGCTCTAGGCGAGTCACACAACAATGGAACTGCGGGTCGACCAGGACTTTGTATGGAATGTTGTTGGGGTGGCGTTTTCTCAACCTGTTGCACTCTAGCGCCATGCGCAGGTGAATATCTTGGCGAACTCATATGCTGATGATTATGCATCGGCCTTTTTGGCGGTGTCACAATCATTGTAGGAGAAGGATCACTTCTCGTTTCGCGATTGTCATGAGCAAAATTAGATCTCGGTGACAGAGTCTGTTTATACGGTACATCGCCCAATAACGGTCGATCAAATTTTGCTGCACTTGTAGTGATTGATGGGCATAATCTGGAGCTCGAACCAACTGTATTTCCAATGGATGTATATTGCGAAACGTAGTAATGGGTATTATTGTTTGTAATCAAAGATGCACTTGTGATAGGATTGATTATCAAGTTTGCGGGAAAATGTTGCATTTTATTATCTGGTTTCATCGATAAATCTTCTGGTTCTTGTTTAAAACTTATTCCGGAGGAGAGATCCTCGTCGACATCTGCATTATAATCTGACTCGTTTGGCCGTCTTAATGACTGCGAAGCTTCAGACCTTATGTTAGCATTAGAAACTTGCTTCATATTAACTGATCGCGGAACTTCATTGAGATTTCTATTGCCAGAAACTGAAAACAAATCATTTCTGTTCTGATTGAATTGTGACGCTACTCGAAGGGAACTACATCGCGCCTCATGCATGCTCAAAAGATATTCGAGTTGGTCTTTCTGTGACACTAGTGCAGCAATCTCAGTTTCTAGGTCTTCGTTTTTCTGCTGCCAATCCGCAGCTTGCTGTTCCAGCGTAACAGTCAAGTCCCGTCGTCTGTTTCGACATCGAGCAGCAGCTTGTTTGTTTCTTTCACGTCTTAAAATTAAGCGTTCCCTCTCCTCGTCCGTCAGCTAAAATATGTATTAAAACCAGTGCATCAACTATAATTTGGGTTCAACCGATTATTTTAATGTGAAAAAACTTACAGCTGATTCCTCTATTCGACGATACCTTGAGTTTGCAGTAGCTAGAAGCTCTAAATCAGCGGATGTAGTTTCAGTCAGAGATTCTGATGACGATATTGGAGATGAGAAATCAACAGCATCATCTGAAGACCCAAGTAAAGTATTGGTCTTCGCTCCATTCATTGGAAACAAGCTTGCTGAACACAATCAAAACATCTGAAATAAACGAGGTTCTTAATATACACAATTGTTGAAACCTGAAGAAAATTGGTTTAAAAAAATTGATACCCAAACGTTCATCAACTATGTGCATCGCCAGGATATTTAACCTCAATTGATCTAAACGACGTTAAAAAGGAAAAGGTCAATTAAAATGGGCCGTTTCGTCTGGGACGGTACGTGCACAGGTTGGATAGGGCCGTACCAACGCTATATAAATACATCGGCACAATTTTATGAACAAATCAAGTCGATTTTAATGCATCAAGAGAATTGTCAATGAAAATCTACCCTCCTCGATTATAGCACAGATAGAATTGTCTATGTTGGATGTATTTTAAAGATTTCAGCACCCCATAATGCAGAGGATTACATTAAAACATATTTTTTTCTTTTGTAGTTTATTGTGTCCCTGTAAACTGTGACTAGAAAATTTCCTTACAAATTGTGACATGCGATCAAAATGACGTGACAGGCATGTCGTCAACGAAATTTTATTCGGAACAGTACAGTGGGAGGTTTTGCTGTTTCAGTGTTTTGCATGTACACAGGTAATTTTTGATCTAAAGGTTGGTCAGCCTCTGTCGATCAGCTCTTTCTCTGGAAGTCCAATTCGTCATTCGAGAAAGTGTGTAATATTCATGTCGTTTTCCCAGTGTTTATCCAGCCTCGATTTGAAACAGCCTTGAAATTTATGTGAACGCTCGAAAATACAGACTCAGGTAGTGAGTTCCAGTCGTTTATGGCTGCGTTAAGGAAGAAGCTATAATTAGTAGCAAAAAGTTCGGACAGACAAAAATAATTAAAAAGAGCAAATGACCTTTTTCAGACAATTTTTACAAGCAAAAGCTAATTTTTCAGACAGAAAGTATGTCTGAATGTCAAGTAAAAATTCAAATTTGCATGCAAAAATTGCTCAAAATTGGTAGATTGCTTTTTAAAATTATTTCTGTCTGTCCGATTTTTTTGCAAGTCTCTATACTTCGTTAACAAGTTCGCGATTTTCTTGTTATTTATTTGCACGGATTTCCAGTAGAATTTCTTTCATCTATTGTAAAGGTTTCTTCGGTTGCTGTTACATCATGAACACAGTTCAAGACTTTGTAAACGTTTTCTTCAGTACCCCGAGGTAGGAAGCTTCAAAAGTTTCAATCATTCATAGTAAGCTTATTTGCATAAGCTTGTAATTATTCTGGTTGCCCATGGCTGAGCGTTTTCAATCGCTACTTCGTCTTCTTCAGGAATAGTTTCCACGACTGATTGGCGTACTCCAGATGCGGTCTCACCAAGGTTTTGTAGAGAGTCGCCATGTTTTCCTCCGTTCCATTCCTTTTCCAATCCTTAAGTCGTTAGCTCTATCTACGGAGCTAATCGGAAGGTTATTCAAGAATTTTTCTGGCAGCCGAGCATGTTGTGCTAGCACGCTCCTAACACAAAAAATTTTATTGCTCTAACTCTAAAAACTCAAAAACTCGATCCCCAAAACAGATTGACAAAATTCAGAAAATTATCGAAATTTTGAGCGAAAAATTTTGGTTTTTTCCAACTTTCACTGAGTCTTTTCTCACGCGGTTTCTTTAGTTAGGGGGATCGAACTACGTAGCTACTCCCTATATAAAAGCTTTTTGCTGTTCGAAAAAGCTCGGTTATCCAAAAAGTTGGGGGTCTACAGTTTGATCGAAAATCGATAATTTTCGACGAAATTTGGGTGTTTCTTGGGTCTGAGTAGGAGATAAGTTATATATAATAAGGATAATAACCTATTAGCAGTTGCTTATAAATATTACTCTACCCTCCCTTGCACCAAAATACCCGAATTAAGACCCTTAACTCGGAAATTTGTAATCGATGGAGGGTACAATCGGACCGTGCCAATCGTGCCCCCCACCACTTAAGTTTTAATGAACTAGTACCCGAACGATACTAAAATTGTTTCAACGATACCCCACAGTAGTTGTGGATGTTGTCCCTATGTCCCTGTTGAGTGTGGAACACGTCGGTCAGCTTGCCACTCTACCCTCCGGTAACCGGTAAAATCACCATTAACGTGCTTAAACACTCAAATTACACTCGAGGGAGGGTACCCAACCCTTCACCAAAACACTCAATCTTTTTATCAGAAACGATCTAAATCAATCTGAAACAACAACAAATAGAAAGGTCAGATCACATCTCGTCCGGAAATTACATATAAACTGTCACTTTATATTTTTTACTGTTTTTGGTCTTTTTTGGGTTTTTAACTGTTTTTTGTACTTTTTTGTTTTCAAATAAATTTGTTTTTGGCTTTTTCTTGGTTATACACTATTTTTGTTTGGTTTTACGCTTTCTCTTTAATTGTTTTTGGTCCCGGGACCTTGGGGCAAACGGGCTCATGACTTCCCACCTAACCCTCCGGCCCCCGGAATTTTCGGTGTTAACTAGGTTAAAAAGCTAAATAGTACTGGACGGAGGGTACGCACCTTTCCCCTAGTAGAATAACGGTCACCTAGGCCTCTAACTTGGGCATACGCCCGGAGCGGAGGGTTTGTCGCTGAAACGCTTGCTGAGCATGAAGGTCTTATGCCTTTGACAGGCCCACCCAGGAGCGCCATAAAAACGTCTATGTAACATTCGCCCAAATACTACACAGCGACGGAGCGTAGAAAAAGTACCAATTTAACGACTGGCAGGCGTCAGTTACCTTAATCCTACTCGTTTTTCTCCGTCTCGACCTTGCCAGTTCATTTTCTGGTCTGTTTAGGGCTAAGTAAAAAGTTACTGTTTTTAGGCCATCAGTCGAACGACTTTTGATCAGCTTTCGTTTACATGCGAACACAACCACATAGCTGAGTCTCGGATCCTCAGACTACGTGATTGTCATTAAAAACACGGCTCGAACAACCTATTTTAACATGTTTTTGTGTGACAGTTCTATATTAAATCCATTGGAGATGGATTGACCCTTTCCTCTTTCTAGCTACTCATATTCTAAAATATCAAACTATACCGGTGTTAATTTAAAGTTTCACGACATCCAAGTAGCTATACAGTCATTTTTATACAGTCCCTTCACATAAAACAGTCTCTGGGGGACCAAGCTTCCTGAGATAACGTTCTTATCTCTTCCAATTTGTGTCCCGGGAGGGTTCCGTGGTATATTCCTTCCCCACTGAAGCTTCCTTCTCCACTAATATCCACTGATAAGGGTCTTATCGTGCGTTGTTGCCACAATAAGAGGCTCCATATTTTCCGTCTCTTGTGCGACCGTTTTTCACACTATTTGGCGTTGTTCTACTTTTTCGTCGTTTTTTGTCAAAATGGCCGTCTTTTTTGTGTTTCTGAGAAATATTCACGTTTCGATCGAAATTTTGAAAATAAAAATTCCAGAATATTCCTACCCTCCTTCGCAATACTTTTCCGTTAATACGGCCTTTATTCATTCTTTTTCGTGTCGCCGGAAGGTTGCGCTGTGTCATCTGGCAGAATGGCACATACTCCCCGGACAGTCCCCATCAATGTCCCCATTGACCGCATAACACCGGGTTATCGTCAAGTAGTGTTCCAGTTTTCTGTAATCAATCTTACAAATCGCATAAAAAAATGAAATTTATCTACTCCACCTCAACTCACTACGTGTTCACAAATGGCATCGTACTACATCTCACTGCCTTTCAACATTTTCCTAAAATTTGCACCATGAGGAGTGTCCTAGATAAAATTTCTTTTCTGACTACTTACGTCGTCTTGCCATAAAACTTCTTTTCGCTCTTTGTGATTAAAAAGTGGGACGTGGCACGGCCACGCACCCGTTAAAATTAACTTAACGTCACTCACCAAGTATAATCAGTCAATTATGCGGTCCTTTCAATATTAAAACTAAAAAACTCTGTGGCTAGTAAAGTTATTGAGTTACCCACCCTTCTCGAGCGAGTTTACTCAAACTTACCAAGTCGCCACACAGTGAAATTGTGTCTTACACAGGTTAAAAACTTCAATCGTGTTTAAATAGGTAAATATACTCACCTACGTTCTATATATATATACATAAATAGTCATAACTAAAATCAACAATTTCAACAATTTTAGCAATTGCAACACTGTAGTTTGGTCTGACCAAACTAGATCAAAACAAAAATTTTAACAAGTTCATTAATCAAAACTTGGTTGATTGGTTCAAGTTTTAACGCACAAAGACAATCAAGTTTTTTCTCCTTCTCTTCTCTTCTTTGTTCACGTCTTCACTTGTTCTCTTCGTTCATAATCTTCACTCCATCGCTTCTCCATCCTGATCTTCAGCTTCGCTGTCTTCTAATACTTTCTCCAGCATGTCCATGGAGTTGCGGGCCGTGCCCCAACTCTCCTGTTCCAACAGCCTCGGTTTGCAACAAGGTAGCAAGTCAACATTAACCTTTTGCTCCCGGTTCCTGCAAAAGCTGTTGTGAAGACATAGGCTCACATTTCGTTCTAGGTCAGCTCTTAAGACCTCTTTCTTCTCATCTTCAGTTACACAAGGCGCTCCAGCTACCCGCTTCACCGCCGTGGTGACCGCGTTTCTGTGCGTCAGGAATGCTCTCTTATAGGCTCCTGGTCCTATATCTAGCTGGAAAGATTGATAGGCTTCCGTGTTCCTCGACATGTGACGCTTCGCGCGTTCATACATCCATGATGTCATCACTGCACGGAACCAAGGCATCAATCTCTGCCTTGACCATATTCTTTCAATGGCCTTAGGTATTCTCAGAACTTTGCAGGTGGTTCTGAAGAGATCCAATTCACGACTCATCTTCACGTTGCTCAGCTGCTCAGGAGTCGGCACGGCCGTCTCCTGTTCACTTGTGTCCGCGTTAGCCTCCAGCCATCTCACTGCCAGCATGGCACTAACAACCACGATTGACACCTGTTGATTCTGATCGGGCAACCCCGTAGAGTATAACTCCTCCACGTCCCATACTAGCATCAGATTCCCGCGTTTGGGGTACCACAACGTCTGCGCCAGGCAGTGGCAAGGATA